AACCTCTAAATAACTACATGTGCAGATTACAGCAAATTGGCTGAGAGTTGAAGAGTGCTGACATCCCAGAACATGAAGTAAGGTGCAGCATGTTTTGTCATTTAGCTGTTGACGATGAGGATTAACATTGAGAGGATAAAGATCATGGGTATTTCATATAGATTCCTTAAAAAAACTGAATTAAATAACTAGTAAGCTGAAGCATTTACCCTGATTTTTGTCATAGTGTTTTTTTTTTTTTAATGTAAGTCCTGAGATAGAGGAGAAATTAATTCTCTCAGTTGTTTTTAGTTCATGTTAAAGGTTTATTACTAAGCTGTCTTTCAAGATCCTTTTTTTTTGGAGTGAAATCTTCCTGGTTAACTGAGCCAGGGAATTCTTAATGCAGTTAAAATTATAAGTTCTAAAAAAGAGAAAATCTTTATGCAGTCAGTGGACCCATTGAATGTTTTATTGCCTCTTCAGGGATATGAGAGGAAAAAATAAAAGTGGACATACTGATCTGAATGTATATTTGCTGGTAACTTGTTGAATTTGTTATGCAAAAATATAAATACAAAAAACTGTTGAAATGTTGATCTTTAAAAGCTTTGCTCTGTCATCATCAGATTAAGATGTTATATTGAGACATCTTAAAGGGCTTAATGAAGTCAGCATCAGCAGAGGTTGTGTCTGAATGCTAGAGTGATAGCATATTTACAGAAAAGTGGAGTGAGATTACAAGCTTTCACTCTTTTTAAAAACTGATTAATAAAGACATGTTGAGGATGGATTTTTAATGTATATTCCATGTTTGTGAACAAGTGGTATTGTAGCAGGATTTGGAATTTGGGAATATCTTTTCTGTCTCATGTTAAATTAGCTGCTAATACTGCTCTGGAATTTCTTCAAGCTGTGTATGCTGAAAACCACAAAGGTTTGCAGTAGTTAGAGAATCCACAGAGATGCTGAATGTGAGTTATGGCTTCTGTAACCTTACAGAGTGGGCAGCCCAGTGTTCTTGGGTTTGTCACTACTTGAGAGTAGTTGACCAAATTGAAACTAAAAGCTTGTGACAGTTCTGTGATTTTTTTCTATGGTAGGATACTTTTGTGTTTTGATTGCTTCTGGAATTTAGGTCCAGAATGAATTCAAGTGCCTAACTTATTTTGGAGAAACTGAAACATTTTACCTGCAAACTAATGGGAGAAGAAAAACCTAAATAAATGTTTTGTCTGAGTATTCTTTCTCAGGGTACTGTGCATCAGCTTTATGCTCCACTTTTAGATAAGTGACTGGAATGCTCACATTATTACAGTTTGCAAGCTGGAAAGAGTCTTGACAGAGGGTGCAGTTAATGAAATCCTCCTGGCTAAGATCTGATTAGCGCTTGCTGCATGGATGATGGTGTGCACGTGTTCAGTGAGATAGCAGCAAGGTGCTACGCCAGCTCAGCCTGCTTAAGCGGATCTCGTTCTCCATCCCTGCTCTTGCACGTCTGTACACTAGTTCTGATGTTCATTTTTTTTATCCTTTTGAATCACTCTTCAGTGGGTTCATTTTCTCCTGGATTCATAAGCTGAGTGTTAGCTAAGGAGTTGGGTGACTGTTTCTGTGGCAGAGATCCATGTGCGGATGTGGTGTAGACATGTAACTGAGCACGGGAGAAGGGAGCAGGACACCAGCAGCCCAAGTAGTGTTAGCATTGTATGTTGTAGTCCATAAGCATGGATGTAATAAGCACTGTGAATCCTTTGTCTAATGAGAACCTGGGGTCTATGTTATGTAACCATTTAAATCAGCCTGGGGCTTGGATTGGCAAAGCCTGCTTCCTCTGTGAAAGGGGAAGAGATTTTTCCTTTAGGAAACTCTTGATTTATGTTTCTAACTTTATTTATAGTCGCTCTTAAAAACTTAACCGTGGAGATTGCTTATCCTAGAAGTTGTTAATCTAAGCAAAACTAGAGGACTTTTAGAATAAGCAACAGTATATGTTTATTATTAACATTATTTTGTCTTTCTGTCCCATCATTTATGGAGATTCTTGCCTCAAATTTTTCAGATACGCAATATCCTTTCTAAAGGAAATGTGGCAGAACAGCAGGATAATGCTGATGGGAGTTGTCTGTTAGGGGAACTACAATAATTTTCACGTTCCGTTAGAACGTCCAGTTTCAGAAATGTGATTAATGTACTGTCTTAGGAGGAATAAGATTAAGTTGATCACAGATGGTCAGTTCCTTTAAAAGAAAATAACCGGTTTGGTGTTTCAGCTTACATTTCTGTCCGCATCTCAACTGTGACTGAACAGTTAACTTGAGTACAAAATGAACAAAAAGTTATACCGAATTAGGAAGAGAGATATTTGAAGACTTCCCTAGTTGCTTTATGTTGTAGTAAATATTTTTGCAGGCAGTTAGTAGAATGTTTGCTTAGAAGTGTCAGCAGGCTCGCAAGGTTTAAAAGTGTAATTGTGAGTTAAGGCTTTGTGCTTTTATGTTTTGATAATATTTGATTTTTCAGCTTGTTTTAGGCATTTAAGTTCAACCTGTATTAAGATGCAGTTTCACAAGAGCAGATTCGTGTAAAATAAGTTTGAAACTTTCTCTGTTTTTCATGAAAAATAATTTGGACCAAATGGGGAGAAGAAAAAATAGAATACTAAAAATAATAAGAAACCAAGCATTTTATAGCAAATGTAGGGGTCTGGAATTTTAGGGTTTTAAGTGTACTGAAATTTTATACGATTATATAGATATAATTTAAAAAAATTATATTATTCTTTGTTTTCAATTATTATTTGTGTTAAAAATGCTATTTTACTTTAAATCAGAGCTGTAGACTGCACTGTGCAGCCTTCCCACTGGGAGGGATATGGCTAACACTGTAAAATGTGTTATGTTCAATGAGCCAGGACGTCTCCTAAGAAGAGAGGATCCCAGTTCTGGTTTTGGAATGCTTTAGTGGTATCGGCTCTGTGGCTCAAATGTAATTGTAAAGAGCGTGTTACACACCGGGTCTTGAATGCACAGATACATAATCGTGCACTGTGAACCCAGTCCTTCAGACAATTCTTTCTTTAGTATGTTACTAGATAAATTATTCAAATAAGATGCACTTTTTATATGTTATGGAGGCATAGTTTGTTTTCATAGTTTAATATTGGAGTTGAACAAGAAGTGAATAGCTGACTTTCCCTCTTCCTTTAGGCATATCGCTTAAAAATTGCGTGATGTGTGATGAGTTGGAGATTCTGAACAGGGAGATTGAAAGGTTATTACAGAAAAACAGCGTGGAACAAGGCACTTTAAACTCAGACTGTCTTCAGCCATCAGTGAATGACTCCCTGGATATAATCACTGATTCAGACCATGGAGAAAAATACAAATTAGAGCAGGTATTCAATACCATGAGATATAGCACTAGGATATTTAAATTTAGTTTATTGTATTCTCTTTTATTTTTTTTCTCCTCTTTTTGGAGTGGGAATAGTTGGCTGAGGGAAAGAATGTAGATAATGTATGTAATACCCTATAGAGAAGGTACAGGGGGAAGGAAATAATGATGTGGTGCTCATGTTGTTTTTTTCCTAATTCTACTTTGCCACAGTCATGCAAATTTTGAGATTTATTGCTCATGAAATAATAAAGTGATTCACTGATGAAAATCAGATTTGAGGAAGGGTTTCTTCTCCCCTCTCCTTACTTTTGGGATGGTGACATGGCATTGGGGAGCACCTAGAGATGATCATTGCTTAGGAAATGAAAAGTGTTTCTAAACAGCAAAAATGCTTTAAGAGTCAGGGGCTTGAGAGATTTGGGAAAAAATGATGTATTCTTTAAAAAGAGAAGTCAAATTATATATTGGCATGTCTACGAAGGATTATCTGTTCTTAGATTTGTATGGCTCCCCACCTAGTGTGTTAACAAACCTTTTTTACTCCTTTAAAAGAATGATTAATGTTTTAGTTATTTCCCGCACCTACTTTGGCAGTTCCCCTGCATCTTTAATTGCAGAATGCTGGCATGCAGAGTCTGTGTCCAGTAATGTTCATTTGTCTTCCCTAGTTTATTTTGTAGGCCAGTTCAAAAGTGAATTTTTTTATCTTGTCCATCTGATCCTTTACCTCCCAAATTTTTCTCCTGGTGTTGTTCTAGTTTGGTAGACTACTTTGGGTTAAATGCAGGCGTTTCCTACTGGTTTTCAGGCTGACCTGAGCTGGGAAGCAAGCAGTCAGTGTTGATGTTTGCCATTCCCCATATGTATTGGGACCCTGGACTGAACAGTGGTTCCTGTTTGGATGCTTTAAATGAGTGCCTTGTGATTTTGGAATATATCCCTAGGGTTGATTTTTGGGAAAATGTGTTGTTAGTGATAGACTCTGCTGTCACTGACGTAAAGCTGCTGAAATTTTCTATATTGCAAACATTATTAGTGGAAGGGCAGTGATAAGGTATATTCCTTAATTATGAAGCTCAGCTATAAATTTTTATTATCCTACCTTGCAAAATCACTGAGTAGCCACTTGGATTTAAATCTTCAAACCTGCAGGTGTCTTCTGTGATAAAATTTAGTACAAACTGGTAGATCTTCCCTACTGTAACCTTGGGCATGCTGGTGGAGTTTAAAAGCCTTTCTGCATTTTCATTGTGTGATATGCAGTGCTTTTAAATACTGTCAACGGAGTAGACTTGTTGATTACAGTTTGTTGCTGTTCTGGATGTCTTAATGGGATCTAAATGAACTGATGAGAGTACAATCAGATTTTGTATTTCTTTCAAAGGTCTCAACTCTTGGTAGGCGGTGGAGGTGGTATTGCTATACTTAAACTTTTTCATTCCGGTTTCAGTGTCTTTCTGAAAGTGGAAAACTGTGAAAAAGACAAAATAATGGAAGTTGCTTTGTAATGTGATAGAGGCAAAACAATTCCACATGTATATATACAATAGGAAGGTAAGTTCATAAATATATCAGTGCCTCATTTTGTATCTTTTTTTTTTTTTTTTTTTTTTCCTTTCTCAGGAGCCGGCAGGAAAAGGAGGATTGACAGTACTTGCTCCTGTTGACAACTCAGAGACTCAGTCTGGCACTTCTGAACCAGGAAATTCAGCATGTGCTGGAAGGATAATGCTGAATGACTCTGATCCTTTGCTGCCCTCCTCTGGTTCTCCTTTTCATTCAGCTCTACAGGGAGAAACCATTCCAGCCTCTAATGCTGTGTCAGGTAAAGCATAATAGAGGACACTGAAGAGACTTCTTATTTCTTTACATTTTATCTGGAATTTAAATCTCAGAATTTGAATTACCTCTGCCTGTAGTTTTTAACATTTCTTCACCTTCCAAGGTAAACAGAAATGTAAACTTTAACTGTTTTGACTTGTTCCCTTACTTCATATGATTCATATTCCATTGCAGACTTTTTCTGGTGTGTTTTTAAAAAAACTTAAAAAAAAAATAGTTTGTGATTTTTTGCAAGGGAATTTAATGGAATCTCATATTATATTAAAACAGTTTCAGCTTTTTACCTGTGGAGTACAGGCTTAAAATTTACTTTTTATTCTTGCTGTAATGTTAAAAAAAATTAAATTGATGTTCTGGAATCTGCTGCTTTTACAGCTACATTTGTAGTATCTCACTGAAGGGACTCTGAAGCTTAATTGTTAATTTTTTAGTGTATCTGCATGGATGTTTGTTTCCATAGCATTGACAGTTGCATTTCTGTTTTAACATTGTTGAATGTAATACTTGAAAGCAGAAGAGTTGTGCTATAGAGATTGTGTTTGATGTGGCAGAACAGTGGTGCGACTGGTGCAGTACATGAAGTAAGGAGGCATTTATCACCAGTGTGCACTGCAAGATTTGGAAAAGCTCGCTAAAGAATGTCTCTGAAAACTTGTATCTGTAATATGTACAGCTGTTAGAAATATCTTGGATTCTTTCAGCAAGTACTGTTATTTAGGAATTCTGTTAATGTTCCCTTTTGGCTTACCTGTGCAATTCTTGATCCAGGAATATACAAATAACTACTCCAAAAACATGAATGAGGGAGAGTTAAGGGGTTTCTTGTTCTTAAAACAGTGTTTCTGTTTACCCAATTCATTGGGGTATACTTAGTACTGCATCTTATAGTTTCACATGAGCAATGTAAGTGCAATGACTGTAAAACATGGTTTCTGCATTCATTTAGGAGAGCATTTACATGGCTCACAACTAATTTAAAACGTTGCACGTGATTTAGTATATTAACTTTAATACTTGTTCAAACCCAGTTGTTCCTGAATTGTTCAAAATGCAGTCTCAGATTTTATATTTGTCATTTGCTTCTGTCTTCTCAAATAAGAGAGTCTCCTAGTATGCTGGAAAAGACCTTTGAGAAGAAAGGGATCTTGGGTTGTCAGCACAGATATTTTTTTTTTCCCACCCTATGACTCCATCTGTGAAAGCTGGAGGTTCTTTACTGGATCTCAGAATATCAGAATTCCTAAGGCTATTTAATAGGCTATGTCAGTATAGTGTCCAAACCCATATATTTAACTTAGTACTTTGTCTTTGAAGGAATTCAATCAACTTTTTTTGGTATTCAGTGACTATTAGTGGCTTGAAATTCAAATTAAGTATTTGTTACAATACATCACGAGATTACATCAGAATATTTAATAATTACTAAAGCTGTGAATATTTTTGAATATGAGTTTTGAACCTTATGTTTCTCTTCAGTGTTTCAGGGTGGGGACAGTGGTGTCTGTACTATGGAACAAGCTGTAAGTTCACAGCCAGTGCCATTAGAATCTGAATCTAATACTGACAATATGGAAAATAGTTCTCCTGGTAAGATTTCTTCCTTTCAAACTGAGCAGAAAATATGCTTATTTGTCCACTTGTATCTATGTATATTTTTAAATGTCAGAAGAGTTTGTAACAGTTGGATTATCTTGGCACAGTGTTCGGTGATGTACTTAATTGCCATTGCTGTTGTATTACATTCACAAGAAAGCATTTTATCTATTTTCAGGGTCATAAAATGATAAAATAAAATAATACTGTGTTGAAAAAAAACTTTTAAGAAAAAACATCTTCCTTCACCACCAGTTTAATAACTATTCCCTTGTTTTTAGCATCAGTTGTGGATGAGAAAGGTGAGCAAAGCAATGAGGAGGGACAAAAAACTATCAAGCCTACAAGTAAAGAGTTCAGGAAAACCTGGGGGTTTCGAAGGACTACAATTGCTAAGCGAGAAGGTGCAGGAGATGTTGATGTGGACTCTAGTGAACAACAGCCACAGCAGCAGCAACAAGGCTTAAATCTCAGGCGTAGTGGACGGCAACCAAAACGAACGGGAAGAGTGGAAGAATTTCTTACAACAGTAAGACGCAGAGGAAGGAGGAGTGTTCCTACTACTCTGGAAGATTCAAGCGAAGCAACATCCTGTCCAGCTACAGATGCTGAAACTGCTTCAGAAGATAGTGTTGAGAGCACACCTGATATAAAACGTGTAACTCGGGGGATGACTACTAGGAGTAGTAAGGATCAGAAAGTCTCTAAAAGCAGACGCACAAAGGAGGATGAAGAAGAAGAAGAGGAGGAGGAGGATGAGGAGGAAGATGATACTTCTGATAGTGATAGTGATGGGTTAACTCTAAAGGAACTGCAGAATCGACTAAGAAAGAAACGCGTTGAACAGAAACCTGTGCAGCTGACATTGAAGGATATACAGAACCGCCTGAGGAAAGGAAATTCAGAACCAGATCCTACAGAAACAGGTGATGTCCACTCTGAGAAACAAGTTGAGTCCGAGTTGCCTGTCAAACAAGAGCCTGAGACTGTAGACAGCACTGACATTGCAAGTCAAGTGGTTGTGTCTGAGGAAAACACTGGAGATCTTCAGGTTCAGAAGGAGGTAAAGCCTGCTCTTGGCACAAAAGGGATCACAGATGAAGAACCCGAAGAACTGCCCAAAAGCAAACCTGAGTCTGAGATTTATGACCCTAATGCACTGTATTGTATTTGTCGTCAGCCTCATAACAACAGGTAGGCAAAGGTTTCGACTCAAAATGGAGTGCAAGTAGTTGGAATTTTTCTGTGATGAAAAATTAAACCAAATGCTAATGCTTACTTTTTGGTTATATGTAAATGAGCTGTTGACTTTGAAGTTTAGGAGGGAGTTTATAACAAATATTTAAAAGCAGGGATAAACAAGTACAGGAATTAACAGCTAGACAGGACAGTATGCTGGTACTGTAGTGGAGTACATGAGATTGTCTGCTTGAAATATCTGTTGAGCATTAATTGTCTTTTCATTTCACAGTGTTTTATTGTTCCTTGGGGTTTTTTTTTTTCAGGTTTATGATTTGTTGTGATAGATGTGAGGAATGGTTTCATGGTGACTGCGTGGGTATTTCTGAGGCTCGAGGGCGACTGTTGGAGCGGAATGGTGAGGACTATATCTGTCCAAACTGCACCATTCTGCAGGGACAGGATGAGCCTGTTTCAGAAATAGACCAGCAGGAAGCGAAAGCGGGGCAAGTAAATGTGGATGGCACAGAATTCACAAGCATAGGAACAGTTGAACAAAAATCTGTTGAGGACCAAGGAATCAAGGGTAGGATTGAAAAAGCTGCAAATCCAAGCGGGAAGAGAAAACTAAAGATATTTCAGCCTGTAAGTACTTTAATTGTTTCTTATTTTTTGTATTTTGATAAGCACATCGAGACAGTGGCTTACTTGTATGGCTGTAAATCTGACTTGGCTTTTTAAAACTAAATATGAAGCTGAACAACTCACTAAATATTACTGTTTAGCAGAAGTTTATCCGTAGTTCTGTTGGTACAGGAACTAAAACTAAGAAAATGTTGTTTTGAAGTGGAGGATTAGGTGTAAGGAAATGCCGCACTACATGCTTTGTGCTATTCTGCTCTTTCTAAATATACTATTTTGGAAGTCAAGTAATAAGGTGTTATTTTCATTAAAAAAATTAGAATTCTGGACTGATTTATACCAGCTTTGAAATAATGTCAAACAATTTTGGACATTTTCAATGATAACGGAATTTCTTACTTGAAATTGACAAGTGTCTTGTGGAGTTAATTCCAGATGGACTTCCTCTGTACTTCCAATTAGTCTTTGAAGTTCTGATTTTTGTCCTGATGCTTCGTCAAATTATTAGTACATAGCAAATTGTTTTATACTGCCTTTATTAACATAAAAATGTGTATTTTTAATCATTGCTAATTCTGGCATAAAATATAAAAGAGGTTTAAATTTTGAAAAAGCAGGTTCCGTGCCCAATTCAAAATACAGGCAAAGAAGCTTCTTCAGCTCAGTGTACAGAGATTTGAAAACTGCATGCTACAGTGGTTGTCTTTGTACTGCCTAAGCTACTGTAGTAATTGCAACACCTTGAACGTTTTCCTTTTCTTCTTACTATGCCTTGAAGAGCATGATTAGTGTATTTTCTGTTAGAATGCTACAGCTTTTCATATTATTTCTGTATGAATTTGTTCTTTGCGCCTAGTGTTTGAAATCATCCCTAGAGTAAGTATTACAAGTTTGATTATAAGCGTCTCTCTGAAGGAATCTTTTTGTCATACATTTTCTACAAAATGTTTATGGAACACCTCCCCAGTTCTAGTCAAATTATATATCAGAGCTATCCATATCAGCATAGTGAGCTTAATGTATAGATCAGAACAGTTTGACCTTAATATATAGATATTTACTCTTTTAAGATAAATGTGTAGAAAATAGTACTTTGCTCAAAAATTTTGAGAAAACTGGGGAAAAATAAGCCACACTATACAAAGAGATATATATTTTTTTACAGGAAATATTCCTGAAAAACTTACCTTTGATAATTGCAAATTCATTCGTAGGGGAGAGGCAGTCTAGAACTGCATTGGTTCCGAGCGTTAGGTCAGTTGTATAACATTTTAGGAGTAATCTAGAAGAGTGAGACTAAAGGCGTAAGTACCTAGAGGTGATATTTTGGAGCCTAAAGACCTTCTAGACTTTGACCTAATGTACTCTGTTTTCAAGGAATGTGCAATTTTCTAAATCTTAACATTTGAAGAGGAAGTGCTTAGTATATAACACTCCAATATAAATGGAGAGTAATGGTGAAGTAGAGGAAAATACAGGTTGCATATGTAAACTTCTCAATGTGTAAGAAGTATTAGGCTATGGCAAAATTGTCTAGGAGAATTGATGTGTTTATGTAAGCTGGAGACCTCTAAAATTAAAGTTGGTAAACCTCTAGAGCAAGAATTACCTGTACACCTGAGTAGCTGAGTGGTTTTTTTTCACGTGTGCATGGTTCAGGAGAGCTGATGATGATGATGATATACAAGTAAAACGTGGTTTAGAAACCTTGCTCTTGAGAAACCAGTTCTGCATTATTAAGGAGATTTCTCACATGATGTAGAGACAGACAAAAGCATTTCTGGGCTTATGGGATCTGAAAATTTAGGAGACCAGCCTCCCTTACTTAGTTCACCGCTAGCAGACTGACCACTTGAAAATACAACACATTCTGGAACTAGTGTGGTACCAGAGTTCAATTCTTATGTTTATATGGGTTGTTTCTATAATATCATTAGTTAAGGTTGTTTTAATGTTGGCAGTTGTGCAAGTCAGAGCCATAGCTATAGTCTACACATACGATATGTAAGCATTTCTTCATGTTCTGAAGGTATACTTCTGGTGTTTCCTCTTTGAAGTTTGAACTCACTCCGTTTCAATCTCTAGGTGATTGAAGCTCCCGGTGCATCGAAGTGCATTGGTCCTGGCTGTTTTAATTTGGCCCAGCCTGATTCCGTGTATTGCAGCAATGATTGCATTCTCAAACATGCTGCAGCCACAATGAAGTTTTTAAGTGCTGGCAAAGATGCAAAACCAAAACCTAAAGAGAAGATCAAACCAAAATCTGAAAAACCTGGCATGCCAAAATCTCAGCTGCAGGTAAGCTTGTGTTAATGATCCAAAACAGCTGTCCTTAAGCATAGTGGCTTATTTCTGTGCTGTCCTTTTTGAGTCAAATGAAATTGACAAGTCCTGCAATGAAGAGGGGCTTTCTATTACTTTTTTTTTATTGTTCTCTTGTCTTTTTCTGTGATAAATGCATGTTTAATTCTTCTGTCAATAAAATGTTTTCATGTCACTTTTTAAAAATCTGAATAATTGCCTCTAGATAGTTTCTTGAAAGGGCCTTCTAGATGGCAGCACACTTGGAAAAAAAAAATTCCAAATTAATTTACCTTTAAAAAAAAGTATAAGCAGTACACTTTTAAAATTTTAATTCAATTCCAAATTAATTTTACCTTTTTTAACTCCAGGTTACTGAGTTTTGGGCAGTAGGTTGGAATTACTGTGAACTAATGTGACTGCATTGTATGTGCGCTTTTTGAAGCAGGGGGGTTGGAACTAGATGATCTCTTAAGGTCCCTTCCAACCTAAACCATTCTATGGTTCTGTGAAATCCAAGCTTTCTCCTTTCCCTTTTGAAACCACTATAAAATGGGTAGTTTTTCAAACAAGCACACTCCCCTTTGCCCCCCACCAATTTGATGACAAATACTGCTGTTTTGAGGTGGTTTCTTTACCATTCTCTTTTCCTGAAGTTACAGGGTGTATTATCTTTGCTTTATAGACTTGAATGTGAAATTACATCACTGCAAGTGTACGTACAGGAGCTTACTATAAAAGAAATTTGTGTACATATATGTAACTATATTTGTGCGTGTTTGTAAAATACAATATATTTCAAGATTATTAGTAATTAAGCTTCTTTTAATTATACAGGCAGGTATGAAGCCTCTTTCAAATCAAAAGAGACAATTTCCTGAGAAAAGAGAGATGAATATGAAGAAGACAGTTTTGACAACTGCCAAGACTGAGGCAAACCCTCAACCTATTGTTAAAGAGCCAGCAGCAGAAATCACGACACCATCGTGGGCAAGCGATCATAATTACAATGCTGTAAAGCCTGAAAGGACTGCTGCCATTTCATCTTCACTGTTGTTCAAATGTATGTATCGCATAGGGATATTCCTGAATAATCATTTACATTTTCTTTCAATAGCCATCCATTCTTGGCTCTGCAAGACTAGGGAGTTTAGGATTTGGGGTTTTTTTCCTTATTATGGCACCAAACTCCACCTTCAAAGATTCACACTCAGAGATACACACAAATGGGACACACTTTTAGAAGTTTCATTTGTATCATATGACAGTTGTATGATTAAGAGCTTATCAATCTACCCAGCTGATTTCTGGATGAAAACTACATGATTAAGCTTTAAATTTTTCCCGTAAAGACAATAACTGTTTCTAATCTGGAAAAGGTAAGTATTGATACATTTGTGTTAAGTTTTAAAAAAAGGTTGCACAGTGTGCACCGTGAAACAGCAATTGACTGTACTAATTTGAATTGTATTTTTGTAATTTACATTTGGCACCTGTCTCTCAGGTCTTGCATTTTCAGTGCTAGTGCCGAGAATGAAATCTTCAACGTGGTATCCAACAATACTTTACACTTCTGCAAACAGCTTTTAACTCTCAAGTATATCCAGGTTCTTCCTGCTGCTTTTCTTCCTTACATGAAATAATTTAAGAACCATTCTTTAAAGTTTAGGGGGGGTAGGCAGTACTCTTTTTTTTTTCTTTTTTTTTTCTTCCCCCTGTCTATTTATATGTTCATTCTTCACACATAATCCACACACACATGAACACATCTTAAGTGGATGTTAGGCAGAGATACTGCCTTGCATGTTTTTGCAGGTTTTGAATAACATCCTTGTAACTCATATAAAGGTAAGTAAATACTGCTTTGTAGCTTGAACAAGTCTTTCTGATAATGACATTTTTGAGTGACTCCACCTAAGTAGTTTTATAATGCAGTGGTGGAACTTCAGATGAAATCTTACATTTCATATTTACAAAACACATGACCTGGTGTCTAAATGTTTACTCAGTTGGAGATTAATGAATTCAGAACTCACAGCTTAACCACACTTAAGCCGATTTTTACATTTTATTTTCAGAAATAAACCTATTTATTAAACATTTACATTATATGTAAAGTAACTGATAAGTTCATAAATTATCTGTAAGATTATATTTTTTTAGACGTAATTTTTAAACACTGAGGGAACACCAGCTACCCGAAATTGCTGTTTATTATTATAGCACATAGTAGACTTAGTAGGTATATTTCAACTGTATTAGCCGACATCAAATGTTTAAATAGTTATAATTTTAAACCTACATATTTTTGTTGCATGTTTTGTTACTTGAGCCCTGTGCCTTTTTTATAGTGAAATCTTAAGAGACATATTTTGATAAACTTGCATTTTTTTTAAGGTTCTTCTAAAGAAACTAGGTTTTTTGTCAGAAACAGTAGTTTTAAACATAAAAATCAGGAGAGAAAGACATAAATGAAACTATAAGGGCTGATTTTACATGTCAGATTTTTGACACTTTCTATCTCAATATAATTGCAAGTGTCCGTATAACTTGGTGTCCTTATTGCTATAGTTTTTTTCTAGAGGACAGGAATACAGATTTTTGAGGCAGGGAGGTTGAGGTTTTTTTAAGGCGCGTAGTTCTGAAGTTTTACCACACTGGAGGTTATGTACAGATTTAACCAATTCTGGTAGAAAATTGTATTCCTGTACTTTAGTTGTTAAATTGATGAAAAAATAATGTGTATATACCAGCCTTTAACAAGTAGAAAACAACCTAGTTCACGTGATGAAGAGCTCTCATATCAAATGCAAGGAAGAACTTCAGCTTGGTGTCGATAAGGTAAGTTGTACTTGTACGTGGGGACTCTGTGCCACTACTAAATTCCGAGGTAAATTGTTTGTGTATTTGTGGAAAAAATTGTCCAGCTTTTTGATTGGATGGGTTTGATCGGTCAGTAATCTTCCTGAGAAGCTGCTATTGCATCATCTTGAAGAGTATTCGACAAGATTTTACTTATTTAGCAAATCCTTATATGCTGTTCAAAACATAGACGTTCGACATCATGGAAATTCATGAGAGTCATCTCACTTCACTTCGCCTTTCTAAAAGTTGTAACTCTCTAAGTCTGATCTAGTTTGTCAAGAAAAAGACCTTCAGTGGACAAAACATGTAATCGGTTTTAGAAGCTAATCTTAGAACAAAGTGATTCATTGTTTAGAAATGCTTATTTTTGAACATTGCTTATGAAAGACATTTGAAATGACTAGTTCAGACATCCAGATGTGTAATGTTTGAACTTAAGGTCGCCTAGACGAGGCTAACGATATGTGTTCTTCCATATACAGTATTTCGAAATACCACCTGCCTTCTCCTGGAACTTCAAGCCATGTTCTGCAAGTCCTTATTTTTGACTTAAGGGCATGAGGCCCTTTAGGAATTAAGGAAAATTAACATCATTAGCAGAATTACTCTCTCTAATACTCTCTCCATCAGTCAATTTATCATATTTCACACATGGATTTACTTGATATTTTTACTCTGTACTTGTCAGATACAAGATTTTGTTGTTTCTGTATATGACAGTAGTTTTGTGAAGTAGTAGCAAGAAGAAAATCAAGCCACTCTTACAGATCTACTGAGTGATAGGGGCATATTGTATATAAGCATCTAAACCCTGCCACCAAGCCTCCTTCTCTCTTCCCAATCTGTTTTGGGATTGATTTTGAGATTCCCTGAGTCTGGGAGTGGGATTCGAAGGGGAAGTGTTTCATGAAGGGGAAAAGCACAGTGTTTGCGGTACCTTGCCCGCTTTACAGCAGTGAATTATGGAGAGACAACACTGCCACCTCCTGGAAGTAGGAGGCCAGGTTGTTGAGCCCTGGCTCTGGTGAGACAAATTTCCTTATATTATCCCCTTTTCAATTTTCTTCACTAGTTCTGCAGCTAAACTTCTCTACACCCAAGACCTTTCACAAAGTGAACAGTGTTTGCTTGTATAGTTAAATATCTCAGATGCAGAGGGCACTCGGACTGCCTTGTTCCTATACATCTCTAACAACATATGGAGACTTTTTAAAGGGAATACACTGATACTGGGAGCCCATCATCAGAAAATATGATGTGCATACCAAAATGCTAGGATTGTAGCATATAGTGTTTATGTAAATTTTTTGTGCATATTTATTTTTTTCTGTAATAGTACAAAGGCAGGAAAGAAAGCAAATACACCTCTGTAAAGAAAGCAGGGGGAAAATGTAGTACGCTCAAGACAGAGGAGTTACGGCTCAGGAGGTAAAAGTGATGTAGGAAGCTGTAAGTACTGTTGTGAAAAGAAAAAAATAAGGCTTTGTCTGCACGCAGACTGGTGCCAATTTAATGCCTCTCTTTAGGCAACTACCAGCTTAAGTTGTGAGTCTTCAGCTACGTGCAGTGTATGTTGTAGTATTTGATTAAACTAAGGAGCTATTCTTAAGTATATTTGTCTGCAAGGACCGATTTGTAGTTAAACTTGATGCCTTTGTTTAGTGTGAGTGCTTCCCCATATGAAAAACTGGCCCCTGCCAAGTTCCATACTGTTGTAACTGAACTACTTCTGGCATCTGGATTAACTCCTTAAAAGCTAAGGCATCTTAGACCCTAAGAGGCAATATATATTAAGTAGTACCAGGGGAATAAAAATAATTATTTTATGTTACTGGCAATTTTCTGGGACACGTGTCTGCTGTATATGTAGGTCTAGCCTTAACCCTTTGTAACTAGAGGAGTTTTCAGAAAGGCTGCTGACAGACCAAATCAGAATACCCAAGATCAGTCTGCCAGAACTTTTGAGAAGCTCATATTGGAGATCTTCTGGCTGTGGAAAGATGATAGTACAGGAGTGGCTGGTGTAACGCAGCTCCGGTGCTGAACTGGCATCATGAGAATGGCAGGGGCTGTGCTGGCACAGGGGCTGGCACATGATCTGAACCCTGGCTCTGGAGTGAGGTGGACCAGTAGTGGCTGCTGAAGCCAACATCCCCTGGGACCCAGCCAATTAAAAGGAGCAGTGGGATCCTTGGGGAGTGATTATCATCTCCTGCCTGTGAACTACTGGAGCTCCCTTCCTCTGCTCTACAAGGTATGTTACATCTGTCCTGTGGCTGTCGGCCACATGAAGATTTTTGCGATGTCTCTTAAGTTAGGAAGGCTGGTCCCTGCTGCTGGTGGTTCCTATTTTGCCTTTCAGGCACCTAGCACCCCCAAGGCACTTGGACAACAGAAGGCCAGCAGTCATGTCATGATGGGTGCTTGGCTTCAGTATAAAGAACCATTGCTGAGGGGAAGGGTTGGAGGGGGCACAAACCTGATACAATTTATGGATACACTGAATATTAGGGTGGTTTATTGCTTATCATCAACACTGAAAGTGATGAAAGTTTGATTAAAAAACCTCACCACCCTCTACTGCTGTTTTGCTTTCTTTTACTAATATTCAGTTCTTTGAACTCGCTCACTTGACTGCATAGCCAGTGAAAAAGGTCTTCCTCTGCTAGTCCCCAAATAAAAGGGTTTTTTTGAGGTGATCTCTTGCACTTCGGAGTCAAGTTTTGCTGCTGATCTTGGTGCTGATGATTTGCTGTGGCTGATCTGTACTGAACTTGGAACTGAAGATGGCCTGTCCCTGCAAGGAGTGATGATACCAATCCATAAACGGTCTGGAAAATAAGGAACCCCTTTTTTTTTTGCAGGAGATTATGTCCCTCTTTCATTCAGGTGTGGTGTAGTTGTGAAGACGTAGTCGACTAATGTAGATCAGATAAATCACTACCATTTCGGGTAGATTAAAACAAAGCTAAGCTGCAGATTTGCATGAGCATAGCTGCAGTGTTGGCTTTAATGCAAACAAATCACCACCACAGAAAAGGCCCTTGTCTCAGAGTTTCCTGAATTAATTAAAAGCCAGATTTATTTGCTTTGTGTGCCTGAATGTAAAGGCATACAGGCAGTTTAGTTGTGAGCTTCTCATTGTGATGCAGATTAGAACTGATCGAGGCTTTTGAAGACAAACTGCAGGGCAGGAGA